TCCTTTTGCTGAGTGATATCTGGTGTAAGGTCTGTCTAATGAGAAAATGTACTCTAGAGTCCCAAAATTTACTTTCTGTTCTGAAACACCCTCTCGATTTCCTTCAGGAAAAAAAAAAAAAAAAAAAAAAAAAGCCTAAAAGGCAACAGCTGGATTTAAGGCTTGGACCTTAAGTTTGGGGCTCTTAGCAGCCTCTCACCTTAACCCTCTTGTCCAGCCTTAGGGTCCAAGGAACCAGGTCCGCCCCGTCCCGCCCCTCACCCCTTCCCTCATTCTCCTGGCCCCTGGCCTGGTGTCTCACTCCACATTGCCTTGTCCCCCCTTCCCGTTCCCCTGCTCATCCCTGCCCCCTCCTCATCTCTGCCCCCTCGTCACCCCACCCCACTGCCCCACCCCATCTCAGTTCCTGCCTTATATTCTACAGCCTCCTGTGCTGTGGATGCTGCTGCCTTAGCTCTTCTTTCTTGAGGCACTGCAAGTGCGCCCCCCGACACTCCCATGTTCTCAGAGCAGGTCTGCTAGGAACTATACTTGCCAGCAGTTTTGGTCGCTTGCTTCTACTTGGCCTTCATTTTTGAGGTGTATTTTCACTCCTGGAGCACAGAATGCTTCCTTGCAAATTCCTGCTTTCTTCTCCAGTTTGTAGCCATTGCTCTTTTGGTTTTCACTTTTTCATTGTGTAAAATGAAACTAGAAACTAGAAAATCATTATTGCTATAGAAGGGCTCCCTTGTGTTCACTTCTGGCGGCCTCTCGGAATTTCTCTCTCTCTCTCTCTCTCTCTCTCTCTCTCTCTCTCTCTCTCTCTCTCCCCTCCCTCCCTTCCTCTCTCTCTCATTCTTTTTTTTTCCTGAGAGCCTCTGCCCTCATGATTTTTTGAGACTGGGCATTGATGTCTTCTTCAAGGTGGGCAGAGCCTCTTGGTCCTGCTTCAGCACCTCAGGGTGCTGGCCTGATAGATGTGTGTCACCCTGCCTGCAAGGTTTCCACTTTCCGCAAGTGGTTCTCGGTGGTTTACCTGTGATATGCCTCAGATTGGATTCCCTCATAGTTGTTCTGCCTTGAGCTGACTGAACTTGCTGTTTGTGGAGTGATTCCTTTCCTTGGTATGGGAACATGTCTCTACCAAGGACTTTTCAGACAGTCCCTCCCTCCATTTCCTTGTCTCTCCTTGTGGAACTGCAGTTCCAGGAACACCACGAATTTGCCCAACCCATGCCTCTCCTTTTCCAGATTCTAATCATTCTGTTTCATTTTTCTCTTTCCGGGTCTTCATGTTTTCTAACCTTCTCCCTTGCAATGTCAAGTTGCCTGTTAATACATTCAAGGGAATTTCAAATTATCACATATTTTGTTTCTCTGTTGTAGAACATTTTTGATTCCCATGATAGGGTCCATTTTTCAGTGGAGGAGGGTCCCACAAGTGGGCAAGGAGGGGAGACTTCCTGTGGATGACCCTTGGGGAATGAAACTATTGAGAGGCCATGCCCTCTGATGAGCTGTGGGTCTCTTTCCGCTAGGCTGTTCCTGTAGGAATCCTGCTTCCTTTTGCCTTACTCCTGGTCATAGCACTCCCAGGGGTGGGAACCAATGTCACCAAGGCTCCTTCTAGATGTGAGTATCATTCTAAGACTCTCACTGTCTTGGGCAGGATTTGAATTCATGTGGAGTTGATCAGGGTCACTTATTTGCAAGGGCAGAAATTAGAGCATCTGGGTATTTTCAGTGTAATCAAGGGCCTGAAGGTCAGTTTGGAGGGTATTCATGAGCAGGGAGAGTGACAAGAGGGGGAAGGGCTTCCCTGAAAGAGCTAAAGACCAAGAGACCTGAGGGGGAGTCCGGAGGAGGCAATTCCTGGTCAGGGACAGACAGAGACAGTGTCTTGAGAAATCCAGGAGGATGCTGGACTCTCAGGAGTGGTCAACCTTTCTTAGAGGGATGAGCTTCCCATACAGAGCTCAGCAGCACCCAACGTGGCTGCCTGGGGCATCCCCAAGCCAGCCTAGAGAGCAAGAGGAGCTCCCAGTTGGATCTCACTGTGCTCCAAGGAGCTAGTCTTTTTTTTTTTTTTTAAATAATTTTCATTTATTTG